GGCTCAAGCGAGTCTCCTGCCTCAGCCTCCCAAGTAGCTGGGACTACAGGCACCCTCCACAACGCCTGGCTATTTTTTGGTTGCAGCCGTCATTGTCGTTTGGCAGGCCCGGGCTGGATCCAAACCTGCACCTTGGGTGTACATGGCTGGCACCTTAGCCACTTGAGCCACAGGCACCGAGCCTCTCATTCAAAGTTCTAACGGATCAACCTCAGCACCTGCCCCAGCAATCAATTCATTCCCTGGTCCATCATCCCTGATACCTAGTTTGTGCTAACCCTGGGCCAAGGGCTGAGGACCCAAGAGCAGCAGACAAGATCATCCCTGCCTTCTAGGTAGGTACAATCCAGTGGGAAAGACAAGGTCAAAAACAGTGAAGTCTACAGGTATTTGGGAAAGAAAAGGTGATTTCTAGGTTGGGCACTGACAGTGGGTTCCCAGAAGAGGCAGTACCTGAGCCAGGCCACAGAAGGTAAGGAGTGTGGGGAAGGGCACTCCAGGCCTTGGACAAGCATAGGCAAAGGTGTGGAGGTAGGACAGGCCAGAAGGCACTGAGGGGGTACCAGGCAGCAACAAAGCAGAGTGAGGGGTAAGGGATGAGGGGTAGACCTGAGACGTGGACCATGAGACGAAACCTAAGATTGAAAAGTATAGGGTTATTCTGTGTACAGGAGTCCTGGGTGAGCCAGTAGAGTTCATGTGCTTCCCAAGCCCTCCCTCAGAGGCTGAGTGCTAGGTGCTTACCATTCGAATGATGTCTGGGTAGACAGGCTCAATGAGGACACCCCGGGTGCTCCCCACACACTCCACCAGCTCATTGAGTGCTGCCCGCTTCACCTCCTTCCCCTTTAGGTCAGCCACACAGTCCAAGAAGTCAAACATCACCCCACATTGGGCCAGCTTCCGGCTCAGCAGCTCATGTAGCTCAGAGGCTGGGACATCTGAGAAGGAAGGGAGACGCTGAGTCTGGGCCCCAGCTGCCACAGCTCTGGGCGGGAGTGGACCCTCCTAATCCCTAAGGCCACCTCTGCTGAGCTCTGTGGGATCTACATTCCTAGGAGTTAGGGGGGGCACCTTCTCTTCCTCCTAATTCTGGCTCAGAGATTTATGATGGCCTGACTATAAAGTGAGATTACAAACCCTGGACATGTGGGCTTTCCACAGGTGCCCCAAACAGCCACTACCTCCTCCACATAGGTGGCACCATGTTCTAAGAGCCAGAAGTGAGGAGGGGCTCAAAGCCAAGGATTTCTAAGGGACCCTCTGGCCCAGTGGCCCTATGGCCCAGGGGAGAGGATGGGGGCCACGTGGTGATCATGGAGCCATGCCAAGCAGCTACTCCAGGACCCCAGCAGCTGGCTAGACTGATAACAGCCCTGGAACCCAGGCTGTGGGCCCCACCCTTGATCCTGGTCTTCCCCCCCCACCACAGGGTGGTGCCACCTTCAGATGCCCCACCTCCAGGGATGATAGGCCAGTCAGGCCATGCGTCAGCAGAGAGGGCTGGGGTCAGCTGCTTCTTACAACTGACCTTGCCCCTTCCCTCTGGGGCTCAGGTACCCTGGCAGCCAGCAGCTAGCTCACCTTTGAGCAGGGGCAATGGCGTAAGCTCTTGCTGGTTACTCTGATAGCGGAACTGAGAAGAGCTGTGAGAGCGCCGGGGACGGGCCCTGCGGAGGGACCGGCGGGAGAAGCCATCCACCTTGTCAGGCGGGGGCACAGGCGACAGCCCTGGGGAGGAGGGGCTTGTGGGGGTGCTTGCAGGGGGCAGCTTCGTCTCCATAGCTGACAGGCGGCAGGTCAAGCTTTCAGAGCCCCTGGGGTTCTCTCTGGGCCTGAAGGATGCTAGATGAGGCTGGGCAGACTAACTTGGGTCCATCATGTTGAGTGGGGGGGGCCACAACCACAGTCCTGGGCCCCCCCCCACAGGGCCTTCAGCAACTGCCCAGTCCTGGGGGGCAGGCAGGGTAGAAAAGAAGATGGCTCAGGCCTCCTTCTTGAGGGTCTAGGAGAGTCCAGTTAGGGTTTTCACCCTGGCTTTTTTAAAAATGAAGTCAGGGCAGAAAGAAAGATAAAGAGCCAGTCAGTTCTTTCAGGAGAGACAGTCCATGGGCTGCAGCTAAGTGTCCATGTCTTCTTTTCCTCTTGTCCTTGCCTGGATCCTAAAACAGGGGTGCAGCCCCCTTCCATCATGGATATGTTCCTCCCTTATCCCAGACTGAAAGGCCCTAGGCTCCAAAACCGCTCCCAGAATAGGGCCTCTCCGCCAAGCCATTTCCTACTCAGAATGGGAACCCCTTCCTCATCCCTACCCCTTTACAGAATGAAACCCTGCTGCACTAATGCCTGCTATCGTGGACTCCCCCAAGAACAGAGATCGCATCCCCATGCCAGCCCCCTCCTAGAACCTGGCACCCTCCCCCACCTGAGCTCCTCCTTCCTGATCCCCCAAACCTCATGGGGTGGGGGAAACACTCACTTCTCAGAAATCCAGACTTTAGTCGCCGACCCCCTGAGGCTGCCCGTGGGGCGGGGGCGGCGGTTCAGGGTTCCTTTGCAGCGGTTCCGCTCTGGGCGCCGGGACTGGGCGGCGGCGCTCCTGGGTTACTTCCCGGGCTCTGGGGAGGCTGGAGCATGCCCCCAGCTCAGTCCCGGATCGGGGCCGGGCAAATGGCGGGCTCTACGCTGGCCCAGGCAGCGAGCGGACCTCCGATGAAGTCCAGGACTCCGACCCAGCGCGGTGCAGCGCAGCAGGAGCCACGGCTCGGTGCGCACCGGCACCCGCCGCCCAGCAGCTCAGGATGACATCAAGTCACCTCCCCTCGCCCGGCCCGCACCTCCCCGCGGGCTGGGGGGGGGGGGCTGCGTCAGGAAGGACCCGGGGCCGCTGGGAGATGTAGTCCCCGCACCATTTAAAGGGCTCTACCAGACGAAAGGGGTAAAACCTAGAGGAGAACTCCGGGCAAAGGCTGAAGCTGAAAGCCAGAGAGCGGAATTTGATGGGCTTTAGCTGGTGACTGGACCCCTGGACTCTAGAAGGCAGACGCTATGGGGAAAGACAAGGACTCAGGAGTTTGCACCAGGAAACCGGGGATGATGCTAGAACATTGGCAGGAAAGAGACCCAGCATGCTATGCCAGGCCCACGGATTTGGTCTTGGGTCATCTATTCCCCAGGGTATCCCCATAGGAGCCCCACTTAGCCCCCAGGATGACCAGACACTTCAAAACTCCTTTGGAAAACCGGCACTGGACTAGTTAAAGTCTGCAGTGAGTCGGTGCCTGCTGGGAGGGGTGTGGTTCACCAGAGGCTGCCGGGAAATGAAGTCCATTCTTAGGCCTGCAGGCCCCCTCCCGTCCCTTGCTGTCTATGGTGACATCATGGTCTCAAGTTTAAAGGGCCAGCCCTGGAAAGGCAAAGCAAGAGAACAGGAGTTTGTCTCCAGGAGCTGCCACTCCACCCCAGGCAACCTGGTTTCCTCAAGGATCTCCTGGGTGTCCCTGGGCGCTTAGCAGTGCAGGGAGAGGGGAGGAATATCTCCTTCAAAATCCTGCTGATGCTGGTGGTGCCTGTAGCTCAAGCAGCTACGGCACCAGCCACATACACCAGGGCTGGCTGGTTTGAATCCAGCCTGGGCCTGCCAAACGACAATGACAACTACAACCAAAAAATAGTGGGGCGTTGTGGTGGGCGCCTGTAGTCCCAGCTACTTGGGAGGCTGAGGCAAGATAATTACTTAAGCCCAGGAATTTGAGGTTGCTGTGAGCTGTGATGCCTAGCACTCTACCCAGGGGGATAGCTTGAGGCTCTGTCTCAAAAAAAAAAAAAAAAAAAATCCTGCTGCTGAGTATCCAAGGCAGGGGTGGGATTACAGGAGTTTGGCATCCTGGCAACAAGTTCCCAGACAGGGCCCCCTTCCTATGACCCTGAACCCTCAACACCTTTTATTTCCCTGAACTCCATCCACCCCTCCCACCCCACTGCTGTGAAATCTTAACCCCGGAGGTTTGCCTGCATGCAAAACAATCTATACTGAGCAGCAGGAAAGGGAGATAAAACTGGACAGTGAAGTTGTGGAGGGGGTAGACTCTTTTCAGAGTTTTTGAGACTCTGTCTCAAAAAAAAAGGGTGGCGCCTGTGTCTCAAGGAGTAGGGTGCTAGCCCCATATACCACAGTTGGTGGGTTCGAGCCCAGCGCTCCTGGCCAAAAACTGTTAAAAAAAAAAAAAAAAAAGCTGGAACCAGGGGTCTGGCCTTCACCTCCCAGCTGGCTCCATGCTCCCCACCATAGGCCTCCTGCAGGCCAGCACCTTGGTCTCAAAGCCAGGCTGACCATGAAGGGCTAGAGCTTTGTACACAGGATGTGCTCCATTTGAGGGCGGGAGGACTGAATGGTGGAGGAGAGGCATAAGACTTTTGGAAGAAGTAGCATTGGGAACTGGGTCCCAAAATAGGCATAATGTCACCTGGGGGATGCAAGGTTGAAAATTCTTTTCTTGGCCAGGTGCAGTGGGTCATGCCTATAATCTAAGGTGACCAGACATCCCGATTTTTAACAATTTGTCTCGAATCCTGCGGCATTTTTAAAAAGTCCCGATTTTTGGAAAGAATGCACGACAAGCTAGGGAATGGCAGGAGACCGGGAAGGGAATATAGTTTTCGGCTGCCATGTGGCTATTTTGCCAGGATATGAGTTTTACATTATTTTTGTTAATTTTATAATCTTAAACTTTAATAATAACAAATAATTGTTGAGAACTAATTCTCATCAAGAACTGCTTATCAAAGTTCGCATTGTTGATTAGTTGTTAGAATTGGACCACCAGCTTGGCGCCTGTGGCTCAAGCGGCTAAGGCACCAGCCACATACACCTAAGGTGGCGGGTTC